ATATAATTTTTTTTACAAAATTGAAAATATAAAAAGGTTTCATGAAAGGATAAAATTTTATTTTAATCTCTGAACTTCATATAAAATTTTAATTATAGATTTTTTTTGTAAATCTAAAATAGTTTAAGAATAAATTTGTAATTTAACCTTCGTAGAATTTTTATTATTCAATGATAGAAGAATGATATTTTTGAAAGAAAAAAAAAAATTAAGTGCATTTTAGTCCAAAACGTCGGTAATTCAACAATACCTAAGGAAAGGGAGGTAATGACATTCCCGGTAATATACCCCCAAAAATTCACTATTGGTAATGTAAGATTACCGGAAATGATATTCCCGGCCAACCAATCGGGGGAATGTGGATTTCATTCCTATGGGAATCTCACATTCCCCCAACCAAACATACCCTTAAGGTTATCAAAATTATGGGCCCAACCTGATTTTTTTATAGATATAACATTTTAGCTTAATAAACAATACACAATTTATAAACCATATATCTCGTGAGATTTGCTGTTATCTCGAAGAAGATCCCTCGTATTGATATGGATCGAGCTGCTCACCAATACAAATGTTTTTCATTTATAAACCATTTTTTCATTTCTACTTGAACTGGGCTTTGTCATCAGATCAATGAATTGTTTTTCATTCAACAACAAATGTAGTTCTGAAACCCAAACACAATTTCCATCCCTACCCCCTCGAACAACTCGATTCGAATTTCCCTCGGTGACCCTCTCATGGACATGAATATGCCTATCGTTTGAGTCTACAGCTTCATCATTGAAACCTTCATAATCTTCATCATCGTCTAGATCACTTTCTTCATGGTTCAATTCGTCATTGTCGTCGTCTTCATCGTCGCTTTCTCTACAATTCTAATATCGATGATTAGGAGGGTAAGAAGTTGAGCTAGACTCGGAGGAATTCTCAGACACCCTTGGTTTAACCAAATTCTCCTCTTTCACCATCAATTTTTTCCCCTTCTTCAAAATCAGTACTTCCATCAACCAAAACATGTTCGTAGGTCTTAAGATTAGTATCGAAAGTTATTTTCTTTCGAGCACTAGAACTCGAACCCGAACCCGAACCCGAACCAAGCAGTTCCTCTGCCTTATCATCTCTTAACCCCAAATCAAAACCCAAAAATTGTATGAAAATCTAATCCACCATTTCAAACAGAATAGTAACTCATTAAATTTACGCACCGGATTTCCTTAACGGAGTTGATAGTCGTTCCCAAGCTGCTCTGTTCTGAAGGAACTGTAGATTGAGCATTGTGACTAACATTTCTCAGAGGTAGGGGGAAAAAACTCAAAATGATGAGCTTCATGCGATTAAAAATAACCATATAAAGTAAAATCAATAATTTCAGAGAGAGAAAGAAAAACTAACTAGAGATTGGGGTTGAACCTTGTGTCTCTGTTTTCGATTCTTACGGCTTAAAAACAACCCATTGCAAGAATCCCTCTTTGATCGATTCTTTAATTAAAAAAACTCTTACTTTTTTTTATGTTCTTGAGGCTTTCTTTGTAAACAAAGACAAGTTTCTCTTTGGTGTTAATAGTGGGTTTTCATGGTTTTGGAACACAGACGAGAAGAGGGAAGAAGAAGCACGTTGGACAAAACAAAAGAATCAACGGTTTTAAGTTTTGGGAACTTTTTTTTTTGTTTTTTTAACTTCTGAGGGAGGGAAACAAGATTATGGATTGTAGATTGTTTTGCAACATTGGTTTTGTTCTTATTTTTCTTAAATTTTAGGGTAAAGAACATAAATGGTCCCTGATTTTAGGGTGTTACGTTTTTAATCTCCCGACTATTAAAAGTTACTTTGTTTTGTTGAGTCCCCGATTATTAAAAGTTACAGAATGATCACTCGATTATTCATTTGTTCTAAACTTATCTCTTTTTTTCTTCTTAAAAATTGATGATTGTCTGAGCTGGACATTAACTTGCTGACTTAGATATGATAAACTCATTCTTTAATGATGTCTATTGACACCATCATTGCTTTCAAGCACTGACTTAATAATATAAAGTAAACGAAGAGTCGATCCACAAAATATACAACTCAAACGATTCTAAGATCAGATTTTATGATATTATAGTCAACAAGTTAATGTCCAGCTCAAACTATCTACATTTAAAAAAAAACGAGTTTGGAACATATGAATAACCAGATGATAATTTTATGATATTATAAAATTTTCATTGATTGTAAAAACGTAATATATTACTTTTCTTGTAAAAAAATAGCCCTTAATATTGTAATATTATCCAATGAAATCCCAATTTAACCTAAAAATCCCAGTTTTACTATTAAAATCTCTAAAATATGAAAATTGAAGATTAAATTTATTATTATGTCAATTTTATTAACTGTCACATTATATATTATGTTTTTACGGAAAAGTTAACTTATTATTTTTTAAAATTATATATTAATTTATAATTTTTTTATAATTGATGGACTCGATAAAAGAAACTCTCTATAATAAGAGGATTATTTTGTTGTATATTTTACCCTGATAATAAAGCTATCATGACCATTAATATCTATCCATGTTGGTGAGTTCGACATTTTCAACAAAATTTTCCAGATAAGGCATTTGAAAAAAAATTCTTAAGATAATGCACTCCACCAAAAGCTATTTTAAGAAATGGGATGAATGCTACCGTAATAATCAAAACTGCACTTATGTTTTCGAAACTCTCTTACTGGTTTTAAAATCTCCATTGGTTTCGAAATCTCCTGATGTCACCCGAAGTGCAGTGTGTCTTTGGTATGTCACCTAGAGTGTCATGCGTCTTCAGTTATCCACTGTAATATTCACTTCGTTTCAGAAAATAATTCTTGGAGGTACGAATTTTATTTTTCAGCCCCATTATATGGAAAAAATTTACGAGCATTTTCTTTTCCTTTTGGCATTTATTAAGAATTATTTAACTCTTTTCAATATTATTTTTATTAAAATTAAGTATCTTTGTTTTCCCCACTTCAAGTAAAATAATTTTTTTTTGTATATTTACTAATATCTTATTTATAATTGATTAATTCAAATTATATGTTATAATGATCTAATACGAGGTAATCTGCTCAATCTAGTTTATTTCATTTATAAACTTTAAGATTTAAATTCTTAAGCTTGTTTAAAGGATCTAATGTGTTATTTTATTAGATGATTTTATTGTTGAATATCAAATAATATCTTCTGATTGTTTGCTTTTGGTATGTTACAAATTCAACTGAATGGATAACTTTTGTTTGCTATCTATTTAACTTTCAACGTAAATTATAAAATAAAGATATTTTAATGGTTAAATATTAATTTTAATCGAGAAGATGTTTTATTTTCAATCTTTTATTTTTTTTAAATTCATTAATTGATCGAGTGGTCAAAAGGATTTACGTTATTTTATCTTATATAGATTTAAATATGAACATTTATCTGACAAACATAATATTTCTCTACTTAATAAAAATAAATTAATACATGATGTCTTCTCATACATAAACATCTAGATTTCCTTAATTTTATGTTAAAAAAATTTAGAAGTCTTTTAAATCTTATCGTGAAGGAATTAATCAGATTCATTTCATAATTAATAAATAAATAGATTTCAAAGAAAAAGAAATTAGTTTATCCTCAAAAATAAACTCTGATTATTTATAAAGATGCTTGAAGAAATAGCGGAAAAGAAATTTGGGGTGAGAGAGGCTCGAACTCTCGACCTCAGGATAACTCAATAAGCTATGAGACCTACGCGCTAGCCAACTGCGCCACCACCCCATTGATAACATCGAGCTATCTATTAAATAACATCATTATATAGTATGTGCTATTTTGTATGCATCTTAGAAAGTTAAATCAAGCAAATCTAAAATGAAACTTTATGGTTACGAACTGTTTGATCATTTATAGATCACACATTGTAAATTTATGTTGATTATGTTAGATCGAGTTGCACCAGAAAGAAAAGAGTGCACGAAGTTTGATGAGAATGAAATTTACCTTACAGGCAAGAAAATCATATGCATTTTCTCGGAAAATAGAAAAAGTTCATGCAGAGCAAATAGTCAAGTAATTTGGACACTGTATAAATTCGTATCTCTGTTGAATTAAGTCTGCCCTTCAAAAATCTCCCCATCAAGTAAATTCTTATGCCTCTTACATTCTATTACGGGAATCATATGCTTTAGTGGTACATTACGGTATGAGACGTATACTGTAGATTTTTTTCTGTTACAATACTCTCAAGTTTCGTTTTTACGATATTTTGGCCCCTTCTTGTCCTAATTCGAGTTATTGTCCGCGACTAAGAAAATGGTAAATTTGTATATTATAATAAAAAATAGGGTAAGTTCTGAATTTAATTACTCATTTATTCTTTCAGTTTCACTTTTGGCTATCTAACTTTTTTTTTCTTTAAAATTATACTTAACGTTATATTTTGATTTCGTTTTGGTCATCCACCGTTAAACAATAAATAGAACTGTTGATGAGATTTTTTTTTCAATAAATATTTGATATTATCTTACGGAGACATGTCAGTATCATCGTTTACTTTTTAAGACAAATGACCAAAATAGAATCAAAAAGTAACGTTAGATATGATTTAAAAAAAGTTAGGTGAACAAAATAAAATTATGAAAATAAATGGATGACTAAATACATAGTTTACCCTAAAAATAAAAAAAATAAACAAATGTTACATAAAAAGTTATAAATTATTTTTTAAAATAATATGGGAAATTATTGGGTAATATTTGTTCATTTTTTTTTAAATTATTGACAACATACATATATCCCACAAATGCAATTATTCAATATCGGGATCTCAAAAGAAAACAATTCAATATGTTCATTATAAATTATTTTTGGTATACCTTAAAAATATAACTTTATAATTAATATTTAAATTAAATTAAATAAATAAACAATGGAAACAAGATCTAACTCTAGATTTTAAAACTTTAACTAAAATAGTATAAGATAATTTGTCCCGAAATATCTTCCCCAGAATCAGGGCTACAATGGAATTATAACTCTATCAAATCAAGGAGGAAAAAACATTTATACCATATTGCTATTCGTATTATATTTATATATGAAGAACATAGAACACAACTTTCAAGACAAAATGTGTAGAAACATGTAATGATTTACAGAAAATGGGCAGGCCGAGGAGATTTATGTTATCTGAATGGCTCCACGGGCGCTGAGTCTTCCAGAACAGCAGCAGCCTCGAAGCATTGAGCTGCTTCGTGTAGTGACGACGGAGTGTCTTCGTCTTTGTGAATAAGAGCAAGATTATACCATGCCGACGGATTCATTCTATCAACTCGGAGAGCATTCATCAACAAGCTTTTCACAACCGTGCTGGATTGGCAGCCAACTTGTTTCATCACTACGGCTGCGGATATCAAGCTTGGGGCATGATTCGGGTCCATGTCCAAAGCATTCCAGTAAGCCTTCAAAGCTTCTTTCAATAAGCCTTTTCTCTCGTAAAGTAAACCTGCAAAATCAGATGTTTTATTCAACAAGGTAACTGACCTGTAACTCTTCTCGGAAGAAGCTTTTTACCTTGATTGAAAATCGGAAAAACATAAAAATGGATTGTTGTATCAAATGAGAATATTGCCGATACATCAACGGCATTGCCCGTTGGAGGCATTTATTAAAGGACAATATGGATATAAGAATTAAAATATAAAGACAATAGCATAAACCCAGGGAAGAATGAACTTACCAGTGGCATGAATTCTAACAGCAGAGTAGGAATTGATGGCCTTGGATTTTGAAAGGCAGATCTCAGCATCTCGAAACTGTGACAAACTTATGTATAGATAAGCTAGATCATGCCATATCTCCAGTTCAAAACTTCTCAAAGAACGATCCTGTAAACAATTACTGAAACATATAAGTCGATCAATAGATAAGATAGGATACCGGAGGTTTAAAAAAAATGATACTCAAAGAAAGAGCATTATACACTCCGATTGCAATTTGTTTTTTAATGTTTGAAGGATATAAAGAGCTTTTGTTAACGGATGTAATAACTTTCGAAGCTGGCAACCATTGTTTCCATCAGCCTCATCCAGGCTATTTAACACCCTAACATTCTAACTTATCTACCTACCTAATTCAAAAAACAGATGCATCGACTGAAGTCAACTGAGTAGGAGAACCACTTCAGATTCCTCAAAAAGATAGAAATTGAAAAATTATAGGTCAATAGGAAGAACTAAACAACAGACCTTATGAAGCCTTTTGCCAGAACCAAAGCTTTTACTCTGCACTTGAACAACAGCAAGAATATGACTATATGTCTCAATAGCGCTCTTGAACTGTCCCTGAACGATTTGTACCTTAGCTTTGGTACGCAATAATTCCCCCTGATCCCATTTGCCGGTTTGATCCAAGGCAGCATTGAGAACGGTTTCACCATCCACGAAACGTTTTTGAGCTGACAATATGCGAGCCAACAACAACCACCCCTTGATGTTAGAACCACCTTCTAGTTTTAGCAAAAACTTTGCATAATAAAGTGCAGCTTCCAACTTTCTCTGCTCAGCGTTTTCTAGACTGAGATAATAAAGAATATTAGGGTCTTTCATACTTGTAATTTTCCAAGCACTTTCCAAGGCCTGAAGGGCCTTGGACTGTCTGGAAACCCTCTCAGAATCAGATAAGGCTGATTTTGAATGTGTCGCTTGAGCCACACCCAATAAAAGGTTACAAGCACCTTCCAACTCACTGCATTCGTCATCCAGACTTTCAAGAGCCCTACGAGCAAAATCAATCCCTTCTTCTGCAAGATTAGATTTCTCTCCGCAAATTGTTGATGCCATTAACAATGCAGGAACACAATGTGGATCCTCACTACTATGCAACAACTTCCGTAGTAGATTCAATGCAATCGAATCCTCACCTGCACCGTAATAACAGAGAGCTAGAAGTTCATATCTTTCTTTGCGATTAATAACCCCTGGAAGCAGTTCTTCTAATTGGTTAGCCAGAGCTCTCAGACCCCCACACATAGAGAGAGCAAATGACAGATGATCCAGAATTGACGGATCCCACTCGATTCTTTTCAAAGAAACTTTTCTTAATAGTATCAATAATAGGAGTACAGCTTCTTCTATGTTATTCCTAGGGACAAATGAACTGTCCATTTGGCTGCGGAGGTTTGGGGCGCTTGCTTCACCTCCACAATACAGAAGAAAAATGGCAAACTGTTTTTGAATCCTCGCAGTAGTTTCAGCATCAAGATTCCACTGATGGAAGAGAGCCCGCCGGTAGGACAAGATTGCTTCATGTGGGGAATCACCAAATTTCCATAATTCTGGAAGCAGCTCGACTGCCTTCATTAGAGTTTCCTGCAATTTACAGTCAGAACCGAAGTTTTCAGGCAAGCCTTCTGGTAAAGAAGATTCAACAATGTCCAGAATGATTGTGCAACTTTGAGCAGCTTCTGCAAGAATGATCGCAATATACATTAGTCACGCAGAGATGATTGAATTGGCATTTGCCAGAGAAATAGTATCATGAAAATGAGAAACAGTAAGGGCATCTGATAACAATGAGTTCCAAGAAATCAAACTTGACAAGCCAAATCCAAATAGCAAAGAAGCTAGTGCGTAAATATAATGTGTGTGCATATACATAAATAGAGAGAGAGAAGCTAGAATACCATAGCAGATTTTAGGTAAAAAGTTGTTGAATGCTTCGAATTTACAAAGACTCAGATCATGATAATAGAAATAAGGCTGTTAAAATTTTAAGCACCGCAGGCATTTAATGACAATAAATACATATATACTCATTATAAGGCTAATATCTATCAATTACTGACAAATTAACTATTGACAGACTATTTTACCAATTACAAATGAAAGCGTAATATTTAGAAAATAGCAAGAGGCAGGATAAAGGGGAAAAAACAATACATCTTATCGGAAACTACTAGCTTTTGATTCTTGAAATTCCGTCATTATTAGCAACACAATTAAAGCATTCTCTTATAAATGATAAAAAACCAGGCCCGCTTATTCATAATAGTAGGAATAAGCTATGTTGCTCGGACACTTCATTTTTCATTAAGTGCCCGTGCATGATATCATGTCCAACACTTGGATATGGGGAGTCGGGGACATGACTTCCAAGGATCCTCCAAATATAAAGAAAAAGTGAAAAACTTAGAAAAATCTAGCCATACCCGTGTCCAACACTTGGGGAATAAGTTGGAGTATTAAAAAAGTCCAGTCAACAACAGCATTCAAGCGTAGCTTTCATCATCCATAAAATAAATGAGTTAATACGAGATGAATGTACTACTACATAAAACATTACCTCTAAACCTCTGGAGATGCTGCAATGATTTTGCTTTTAGAAAGATTGCTTCTAGTAGTAAACTAACAGCATGTATAGACATTGACGGAGAAGCATCGTCATTAGAACGTCTCTTACGTCGATCAACTCTTTTAGCAAGGGTGAGTTTCATTTTGGGAGTTATTCCTGCAATATCTATTCCTTCAAAAACATGTAGTGCAGCTTCTATATTTCCTTTCTGATATTCGATTCTTCCTAGCAATGCTCTAGCTTCCTGCAAATTGCATATACCTCAGCCAGAAAGAAAGCAAATAAAAATTATCAAAGAAATACTGCAAATTTGCAAATAAGTTCCATACAACAGATAAATTGTGGGGAAAGGCACTAGGAGAAATAAAAGACATCACAAATAACTGCAAATTTCATACGCATATAGACAAGAGCAAGGATAAGTGAGCAGCCACAAGTGAAAGGTACCATAAAAAGTAACAAGAATGACCTGTTAATGCAAGAAGCAACACTATGGCTTTGACACGATTTGCCTAAAAGAAGAAATGACCTAATTAAATAAGTGCTAAACCATAGCAGAGTATGCAATAGCATCTCTATATTGATATATTTTTACCGAACTTGATTCATTCAGGATCAGAAGCTATGAGCAAAGCAAATTAACCAGATGGCATACAACTATACTTGAAATCTGTTTAAATTCCTAAAAGTGCACTTAATTACTAGTGCAGGTAAAAATATATACAAACAAATGATAAGATGGCTTGAATGTTCATAAAATAGACCTGAAACCAGATCTCAGAAGTGGTGAGTTAAATTTTGATAGGCATTTCAGAAAACAATTATGCCACCGTCAATTTTCACTACAAAAATACAGACGAACTTGCAATGTTAGTCGCGAAGCAACACTATGGCTTTGACACGATTTGCCTAAAAGAAGAAATGACCTAATTAAATAAGTGCTAAACCATAGCAGAGTATGCAATAGCATCTCTATATTGATATATTTTTACCGAACTTGATTCATTCAGGATCAGAAGCTATGAGCAAAGCAAATTAACCAGATGGCATACAACTATACTTGAAATCTGTTTAAATTCCTAAAAGTGCACTTAATTACTAGTGCAGGTAAAAATATATACAAACAAATGAGAAGATGGCTTGAATGTTCATAAAATAGACCTGAAACCAGATCTCAGAAGTGGTGAGTTAAATTTTGATAGACATTCCAGAAAACAATTATGCCACCGTCAATTTTCACTACAAAAATACAGACGAACTTGCAACGTTAGTCGCGAATATAACCACTCCAGATCAGGGATTTAAATAGAGGCCGTTGTATAGCAGTAATGGTGCCGTCCAAAACTGTTATTGCGCGACCGTGATACCCACAATGACCGCAATAGCATATGCTACGTCCGCAATTGCGATAAACGCAACCAAAATCCCTGCTCCAGATATCAACTTGAGAGCTGAAAATAATGAAGCATACCTCATAATTAAGTGAACTACTTTCACGCAGAGACAATTCAGCTTCTTCTATATTCCTCGTATCTGGCTTTTTCTCAGCAGCATCAACTTTAGAAGAAAAAACAGTGAGTGAATAATCATTAGCAGCAAGGGATTCTGATGAAGGTATCATTTTTTCAACTTCTCTTAATTGCTCTCCGATGCATTAATTCTTAATTATCTGCCCCAAATCCCTCTTAAGTCCAGCTCTTCTCGGCTGCTTAATCCTTATTTTACTCTTTATACTGTTTCACCACTCTCCAAAGTCTTCAAGATACAAGAACAACGGTATCTTTATCAGAATTATAATAGTAGATCCAAAGGATACATAAATCATAATTAGTATATACACAATATGACGATTAATACAATTATACTCATACGTACACAGTAAAGTTCAAGCTTTTCCAGTAAAACAGATTACAAGAACAAAAATTTAATGCTTCCAAGGTATCTAAATACTAAGAGTGAAATCAAATTCCAAAAGCAAGATATATAAAATAATGAATTAAGATATCATAATTTCATTACCTTTGTGCTATAAAACAAGCTTAAAACCGAAAACCCCACAGTTGAAAAAAAAACTATTGATCAACACCAAAAACCCACCAAAATTTCACCAACCCCACTTCAAAAGTCCTCACCAAATATCTAATGAAAACTCCTAAATCGTAAACTAGAATGAAAAAGAAGAATTAAATTTACCAAAAAAGAAAGTCTTTCTCAATCCAGGTAATTAAAAAATACAAAAACTCCACAGATGACAGTGAAAGCAAGAGGAAAAGATAGCTCTCACCTTTGGTTTTTCCAAACAGCAGAAAAGTAAAGAGAGCACATGATATCAACAACACCACCAATCTGGGATATCCACTTCGAATCCAAATAAGCACCTCCTTTAATAAAAAAGATCACGGATTTTAAAAAAATAAAACTAATAAATCAAGTAAGAATCCGAAGCCGTGCCATCAAGAATCTTTTATTTCCTTTATTTTTTTGGTTTAAAAGAGAAAAAAAAAAGTAAAAAATAACAAACTCAGGGACGTGAATTGGATCGTGGGAGAGAAGATTTGGAGATTATAAAACAAAACAATATGTAATAAAAAAAGGAAATAAATGATGTTGAATAAAAGGAAATAAATACGGTAGGTTAAATATGGTCAGAAAATAGGGTTTGTGGGTCCAACAATACAGGATTTTTTAAACGACGACTGCTTACCCCAATTATGCGCCACGTGAGACGCTTTTCATTGTTTTGAATCTTGAGTATGTATTATTTCATTCGATTTTATAAAAATATAAATTAATTATAAAGATAATATATATTTATAATTTTATTTAATTATTAATAACATATGTTTTATTCATTTAAAGGAAAACAACACACATTTTACAATCACGTCAATTTAAACTTAAGACTTCAATAAAATAATATTTCTTTTAATCATTTGAACCATTTAATGAATTTATAATTTGATTCAATTTAAATATTATAAAAATATATATATCTTATAATAGATATAATCAAATTTTGAGTCGATATTCAAATCATTACCTGACAAAGTATATATTACAAGGTTTTGTCTCGCGTCTCCCATCAAGAGATTGGTGTCCTAGTTTTAATTTCTTTCACAGAAAAGTTACATATTATTTATATCTTGTACCACTTCATTTGGTATGTTGCATCGATATACATACATGTGTGTATAATTGTATATTTTATAAATGAAATAAAACAAACTATAATTGGTGCATTTTCCAATAAGAAAAAAAATTGAAATATCAAATTCAGTTAATGGATTAAATACATTTACAAATAATATACAAATATCTAATCCCATTAGATCTCTTGTAGGACTCTGTCCCTAACCAAGCCTCAACTACTACTCAGATTTTTCTTTTCGACACCATTGCCAACCATTAATCGGGCTCTATTGCAAACCAATACAAAATTAGGGATGGGTATTGGTCGGGTTGGATTTTTGGATTCTATTCGAATATTATAAATTCTTCATCTGATTTGAACTCGGCATGAAAAATATACACCTTCACCTAATCCGAATCCGATCTGATTTTTTGAGATAAAATCTGAATTTGGCTCGATCGAAAATAATAAATTTATTAAAAATATTATTTTTATTCAATAAAAACAAGGATATAATGAAAGAAAATAACATATAGAGGGCTATTATTATAATTTTTCCTAAATATATAAGGTAAAATTATATTTTTTTCATATAAAGTTGAGTATTTTTCATTATAAAATCGAATCTAATCCGACTCGAACATAACTTTAAAAAAATTTAATACGATCCGAACTTGATTTTTTTTAAAAAAAAAAATTGACAATTGAGTCCTAACCAAAACCCACCATCATTGAATCACCAACATCATTAAGATTTTTAAGAGCACTTTCTACTTTTATCTCCCCCCAACAACTAAACTATTAATTCACCACGGTTGATACAGATACCAATAACTATTATAATATCCCAAACTCGAACTTCATCGGCACCCCTAAATTCAGGAACAAAGGCAATATTCTAATTTGGAAGAGATAAAATATAGCTTTTTTAAAATAAAAAATCATTTATAATTATCTCATAAATGTTTTAAATTTTATATATAAATTAAATCATAAATCTAATCCGATATAAAAAGTTGTAAAACAAGAAAAGAATCAAGCATAAATGAAAACTTACTAAATTAGATATTATTTTTTTGTTAAATATATTTCGTCTTGAATTTAATGGAAATTAAAAGCTAAATAATCATTTTATGATAAATTGATATTAGCAATAACCATACTTTAACTTTTCAAACATATGTGGTGAAAATGAAAACCCACTAAACTATTAGTGACTTTACCTATGAATAAAAGATTCTTTTTTGTTTTCCGTTCCTTTTCTGAAATATCTCAAAGTAAAGGGGCCAGATTGTAAATAAACCAACCAAAGGAAGAAAATGAAAAGTCTTAGGGTGGCGACTGGCCAGGCTCACTTGTCCTCCTGCGACCCGGCTTCTTTTTCCCATCCCCGGCAAAAATCTTTCCCTTATTTCTCATTGATTTTTCTAGGTTTTGCTGCGATCTCCCTCTTTTATTCAAAATGAGAGGATTAGTGAACAACCTCGTCTCCCGTTCTCTCTTCTTCGCCGGCCAGTGGCAGCAACAGCAGCTCCGCCGTCTCAACATCCATGAATATCAGGTTTATTTACTTATCGCTCCTTTCCTTTATGTATTTGATTCATTGCATTCATTGTGTTTATTATTTCTGAGAAAATGTTAATCGGAAATTGCGGTTTCCAAAATAGATCTTAGATTAGTTATGATCTAAACTCTAAAGCTTATACTGGTTTTCATACTTACGAAATGGAATTTATGTGCGAATTCTTTTTTATGGAAATTGAGATTCGAGTTTACTGCCTTTTAGTGGGTTTTATGGATCTGTGTCTTTCTGGAAAATATAAAATTTCATGCAAGCGTCTTGCTTATAGACGTGATTTTGGTAATCTGAAAATTAGGGGGCTGAGTTGATGAGCAAATACGGGATTAACGTGCCAAAAGGAGTTGCTGCTTCTTCTCTTGACGAAGTTAAAGAAACTATCAGGACAACATTCCCCAATAAGAATGAGGTAAATTATTAAATTTATGCGCTGAAGTTGTTTGTTGTTTAATATCATGCTTGTTGATTTTGATAAGAACAGTGGAATTATTAGCCTGTGTTTTTCACGGAGGTTTAATTTTAAGAAATTATTTTATAACAATTTGAAATAAAATGACTGTATAAAAAAGTATTGTTAACTTGGATTATGGTGCAGGTGGTGATTAAAAGTCAAATTTTGGCAGGTGGAAGAGGCTTGGGAACTTTCCTGAACGGTTTTAAGGGTGGAGTTCACATCGTCAAGGCTGACCAGGTTGAAGAAACAGCAGGTAATTTAAAGTATTTTTTTCCTATCATCTTGTAAAGCACTCTATTGCACAGTAAATACATTTATTATGAGTTTTCTTCTCGAGTTTTTAATTTATCTTTGCTGAAGATGATATTTTAAGTTATACATGTTTTTTTACTACTTGTTCATTTATTGTTAACATTCTCTTATTCATTACGAAGCTTGTGTGCTATTTAGCATGTAGTGATTTTGCTTTTACATTTATGATTTATCCTCACCCAAGCGAAGTCATTTCTTTAGTTTTTCTATAATAATTATTTTTGTTGCATGCAGGGAAGATGCTTGGGCAGATACTTGTTACCAAACAAACTGGACCCCAAGGCAAAGTTGTTAGCAAGGTTAGCCACCTGTAATTTTTTTAATGTGAAACTTGCATTTTAATTGCAGTCAGTCTCAGTTATGTTATGCTATGGGGATTGGAATAGTGTATCTAGTAATTGCTTGAATCATTATTAACTCCATTTTCTTTTTACAGGTTTACCTGTGTGAAAAGTTGTCACTTGTGAATGAGATGTACTTTGCTATCACTCTGGATCGTAATACTGCTGGTCCAGTATGTTCCCAAAATGAATCTGTCATCTTTGTACCTGCTGGAAGCAATATTCTTTGTTCCCACTTAACTGATTTTGTATGAAGTCAAATGTGCTTATTTGCACTATTGTATATTTTGTTTCTCAGCTTATAATTGCCTGTAGCAAGGGAGGAACCAGCATTGAAGACCTGGCAGAGAAATATCCTGACATGATTATTAAGGTTAATATAATCGTTTTATGATGTTTTGGCATTACCAACAAGGTAATCTCTCCATCCAAAGTGATCATGGCTATGCAACTGACTCATCAGTTATTTCTGATAGGTACCTATTGATGTTTTCAAAGGAATTACGGATGAAGATGCTGCCAAGGTTGTGGATGGTTTGGCTCCAAAGGTTGCTGATAGAAATGATTCTTTTGAACAAGTGAAGAAGCTATATAAGCTTTTCTGTGAATCTGATTGCACATTGTTGGAAGTGAGTTTGGTTTTCTTTCTTTGTTTGGCTACATTTTATTCTGACTATCTCATTTGTTACCAGTCATTTTATATGGATTTCTGTCTATATTAGGTTCATCTTTGTATGAATTGTTTATTGTTCTCAACAGATCAATCCTCTCGCTGAGACTTCTAGCAACCAATTAGTAGCTGCTGATGCAAAATTAAATTTTGATGATAATGCAGCATTTCGTCAAAAGCAGATATTTTCTCTTCGTGATCCATCACAGGAGGATCCCCGAGAAGTATGCAATGTCTTCTTTTCTCTTTTATCATGTTTATCAAATGGTTATTCTTGGCTGTTATGCAGAAACAGTATCAGCAGTTGCATGATTATCCAATGTTTGTACATATGACCCTGATTCTGCATTTTTACTTATTACAGGTTGCAGCTGCCAAAGCTGATCTGAATTATATTGGCTTAGATGGAGAAATTGGTTGCATGGTGAATGGTGCAGGGTTAGCAATGGCTACAATGGATATAATTAAGTTGCATGGGGGAACTCCTGCTAATTTTCTCGATGTAGGTGGAAATGCTTCTGAAGGCCAGGTAATGATTCTTTACTTTTAATTATATACTTTGACGGTTTATTTGTGTAATATGTTTTTTGTTCAATAAGTCTGCTTACTTTCTGGGTCTGGTAGATTGACATTTCATTAATCTTACGAATGTTTATGAGCTATGCTACTCTGACTTGAGGTGAATGTAGCATGTGTCCAATGAGATCATGTTCAACATTTTTTAACAAATGGTTTTTCTTCGTATTTGGAGTTTAGAACCTCCTGGATCATACCCTCATCCAATCATATGTTTCAGACATGTGGAAAATGAAAAGTCACTGGGTATGGCTGTGTGGATGATATTTCTGGGCATGACCGTATGTTGTTTCTGCTGCTGTTTTTGCTTTTCTGGCATCACTGGTCATCTTATATTTATGGAAATTTTGGTTTCAGACAGTTGATGTACCTTTATGCCACAATAACTGTAGAGTACTTATCCAAAAAAAATAACTGTAGAGTATTTGTTCATTTACTTGTCCAAAAAGGTTGAATATGTTTTTGCTTTTAATTGT